GCCGGCCAAAGATGCACGCGGAGGTGTCGACCACGGAGGGGTAGGCTCCACGCATGGCGAAGATAAACTCGTCCTCCATCCAGTCCCAGCTTAGTTGCCAGTTGTCCAGCCGGCCCAGTGGGCTGTGGTTCTCGATCGTGACCTGAGCCCAGTAGTTGGATGAGTAGGTGCGAGTCACGTCGTACATTATGGTCAGGTCGCCGTTTTGGCGGGGCAGGAACCCATCGTCCAAGGTGGTGTTGGGCCGGAAATTTGGGTCTCTTGTGCAACACACTTGCATTGTTCTATTTCCTGAGAACAACAATGTGAAAGAAAAACTATATTTAAATTTGATATCAAATGATTGTCACCAGATTCAGACAAGCAAATAGAAATACTTTCCAAGACATTTCAGACGAGTTACAAAGAACAAAAATCTTAGAAGAAAACAATACTCAAGTCTTACAGCTTTATTTTCAAATTTCACACCTTCTAATAACTCAGCAAGACAAACATGATCGACGACGACGTAGGGCAAATGCAAGAACAACTGCAAGGTGAAATTAATATCCAACGACAATGTAGATGTTTTAATTCACAGATTTTCATGTTCAACTGCAGTTATGATGCTTGATTTCTTCTTTTGAGATCAACATAATGAATAACAACTGCCGAGAAGTTTGAACTTTATCAGATGTTTCAAAAGATTTTAACGTCGTCTCTGAATATGCCTTTTGAATTCCAAGTAGCCAAATTTGTACATTATCCATTTGTCCACATGAAAAACCCTCAGAAGACCCATCTGGGCATTTAGTCCAATGTATTCAACTCTCACCATCAAGCAAAACATTCAAAATCTCCAGAAGCAATTGATCTCAATTTTAGCAGTTCAAAAAGCAGTCCAAAAATAAATTAGAGTTAAAAGGTCACACAGCAGCTTGCACAGAGGTTTATCTAACACCCAACTGTTCATAGAATCATTCAAAACTCAGAAATTTAAGAACTCTTATCAATCTAAACTAATCCAATCAATCGATCACTCCAACTTCAGGAATCCTCAATAATCTAACCGTAAGAGAACAAAAACACATAACATAAACCCTCCCAAAAGCCAAATCATAAAGAAGCAGACTAAAGTTGACCAAACTCTCCCAACTCCAGCTCCAAACAGACACTGAATTAAATCTAAGAAACATGAAAAGGCAAGAACACAGAAGAAGAAGAAGAAGAAAAGAGGGAACACACAGTAGCACAAGCTCACCTTGTATCCTAGGTCTGGGGCAAATCCACCTATCATTGACCAGAGAGATATTCGCCGGCATAGGCACATCCGGTGGGACCACCCCGAACTGCGTACCCACCAGCTCGACCTGAACTCCCATCTGGGTCAAATCCCCAGCCGTATCGATACCCGTTTTCAGATCCGGATTCGGGAACCCCGCGAAGACCGACCCGTTTCCCACGGGCCCCGGCATCGCGCTCCCATCTGCAAGCACGGCATTCGTGGCCGACACCAGATATTCGTCGTGCTGAAACCCGACGAAAACCCGCCAGGATTTGAGCTCTTGGGCGTCGTTGTTGAGCACGGTGAAGGAGGACTGGAACCGGTAGGGCTGCCGGGCCGGATCCGAGGGCCGAATCGGCGGGAGGATCCTTCCGCCTTCGTATGAGTAAGAGAGGAATATTCCGACGCAGGCGTCGGAGGCCGGCGGCGGGGCGGCGGGTGTGGGACGGGTTTGGGATTGGGCCCGGCCCAGGGTTAGGAGGAAGAGAGAGAGGAAGAGGGTAGCGGTGATGGCGGCCATGTTCTGCTGCGTGGTTTAGGAAAAAGAAAAGGCGTGCCTCAATTCAAAATCATGGGGGATGAAAATGAATGAAGAGAGAGAAAAAATGTGTAAAGAGAGCTCATTATAACTGCTATATATATATATATATATATACGTATATTAGTGTGTCTCGAAAGCACACGGTGCGTGAATGCGTGTGGAAGAACAGAGTGGGAAAGAAAGACAGCAAAGGATAAGCTGTTATAAATTAGTTTTATAACTAATAGTAGTAATATTATTAGTTAGTTATTTTAATTTGTATTATACTTTGTTATTTTATTATTATTATTATTATTATTATTATTATTATTTTACTAATTGTGATGTGTCCAAGATTTTACACATAGATTATTTTACTAAAGTGTGAGAACATGTCAGAAGACCGCCTAGAATCCCGGCTAGCAACGCTATTATTATTATTATTATTATTATTATTATTATTATTATTATTATTATTATTATTATTATTATATCCAATTTTTAGAGTTTTTTTTGTCGTTAAAATCAATTAGCTATTTAAAAATTTCTTAAGGATATTACAAAAACGATGATGTTACTTATAAAATAAATAGCAATGCTTCTATATTGTTTTTGTAAGTGTATAATTTACATAAACATCTAAGTGTAACTATAATTAATTAATTATATTATTATTATCATTATTAAGTATTATATTATAGAATCATTAAATAATATTACTACACTTAATTACTACAAATTATAACGGTTAATATCTATAACTAAATGAAAAAGGCAAGAAAACTACATTAATTGGATAGCCCATAAAATATGAGATTTGTAGATAGATAAATATGAATAAAAAAATATTTAACAATTAAGTTGACAAGGCTTTTAGAAAATATTTCAAAAAAAACTTCAAACGTTTTTATTTGTTAAATGAATGACCAAATTTTTGTTCCAAATTTATACGTTTAACCGAAAAAACTTAAGGAAATAATTGATCAAATTTTTTGGAAGCAAGATTTTCAAGATTCTTTCTCATTATTGGTCAGATTTATCGATAACATTAAGGAAATCATTACCCATATTTTTAGAAATTAAGTATACAATATTTTTCTCAAATAACATTTTTTTAAAATTTGAACTTAAATTTTCATTCAGTCACCATTAAAAAAACAAAAATACTAAGAATAGTAACTTTAAAAATTTTAAGCAGAATTTTAGTACTATTTCAAGTAAATCCTTCTCTCTTTTACTAGTACGCACGCCGTGCGATGCACGAGATAGAGATATTAAATGAGTTATTTTCGTATGCTTTGTTTGGTTAAATCTAAAACGCAATAGGGTTATCATCTACTTTTCACCTTTTTAATCAGTCTTTAGTCTAAGAATCAATAGGATTATAATCTATTTTCCACCTCTGTTAAGCAGCGTTGTTTTTTTTAGCCAGAACATTATATATGAACATGTTAAGACTAGCTTGTAAAATAATTAATATATTATCTCACTAACACATTTATACTAATATAATTTTGATTTTAGTATATATATTTATTCCTTAATATAAGAGAAAATAACCGTTTTACATATTTTTATTCACCATATAATATTTATTATTATTTTATTATAAACTTTGTTGTCATGTAATGTCATTACTTTTTATAAAAACTATAGAAGTTGTACGCGTTCTTTTTCTTTTGATTTTATGTAATGAAAAATATTTAGTTCACGTTAGTATCATCTATTTATGTGATTGATTTAAAATATGTAAATAAATTTAAAATTATATAGTGCATAAATAGTTTACAAAATATACACACATGTTTTTTAAAATTTAATTTTGTATACTAATTAAATAAGTCTGATTTAGCAAATACCAAAAACTCAATCCCTTCCTTAATCAAGATTTTTTTTTTTTATTTTGCATTATAAGGATTTATAGTTTATTTAGCATACTTTGGAATGAAAATATATTATACAAAAAGTTCATTATGAAAGAAATCAAAATAAAAAAAAAAATGATAGAAAAATAATCATAGTTTCCAATAACATATATTATACAAAAAGTTCATTATGAAATAAATCAAAATAAAAAAAATGATAGAAAAATAATCATAGTTTCCAATAACATACAAGTAAATACTAAAGAACAATTATTATACTTCAATTTAAATTTTTTACCATTAGAAAAATTATTTAATGTATCTGGTCACTATATCTTAAATGGTGAATTATATTAATTTTAAGAACAATTTAGTTTTATAATATAACGAAATAAAGCTTAAGTGAAAATTATATTGGTAAAGATTAATTTATCAACTTGATTTCGCCTAATTAATTGCAAGAATAAACTCTACCTAACCTGTTACGATTTTCTATAATATTTTTTAATAAAAAGTGAATATTTGTGAAAAAAATTAATAGTATGGTTAGAACTCAAAATATGTTGTAATAGTTATCCTGACCAATCAGAGAAATCAATATTGTAATTTATTATAGTGGATATCAATGAAATCATTATAAATATTAATAAAATTATTTAAGGAAACAACATTTTTGATAATATTTGATTTAATCTTATTTGAAAACGTGTATATGGAAGCAATCAATGCATATATTTAAAAAGTTTTCAAAAAATGTAATGCATTAAATGCTCCCAAAAAATTTAACTACTATTTTTAATAAATGGTTATTCTTGTTAGGGCTTCTCCAATGGTTAGCTATTTGGCTAACTATTATGACGTGGACAGAGCAAAAGTAAGAGAGAGAGTAGTCACTAGCTACTAACAAATAGCTTATCTATTTCACGTAGCCCAAGATCATGTGAGAGAAGAATGTGGGTCCAATAATGTAAAATAGTTATTTTTCTTATCTCTTATATCCACGTCAGCTAACCATATAGCTAGTAATAGCTATTACCATTGGAGATGCCCTTATATATAAGATACAATAATAGATTTTAAGCTATCCAATTAATGCGGATAGCCCACTTTTCCCGCCCAAATCATTTTCAGCTTAATAAAGGAACTTTACATTAATTAAGTTTAATTATATTCTTTAAAATATTATTATACAATAATTATTACTAAAATTAACAAATTATAATTCACACTAAATGTTATATAAGCCACATAATCATAAAAAAATATATTGTATATTTTTAAACTATTTATTATAAATGAAATATTAATTTTTTAATCATATACTCAATTTAATGACATGAAAAAACCCCGTTAAACAATTTATGTAATAAATATTATTGTTTCAATATTTTTGTAGGTAAATTAATTTGTCATGGTCCATCATAGTAACAAAAAAAAAAAAAAAAA